ACCACGTTAGCCACCGCCCAGTCCTCTGGCACTTTCCCCATAGCCAGAGTCCTTGCAATTTCCTGCCTCACCTCCCACAGTAGCCTGGGATGCAGTTCATCTCGGCCAGGGGATTTGTCTGTTTTTAAGCCCAACAGAGCCTCCAATACATCCTCATTTTCTATGTCAAACTGTGCAAGTTCCTCACAGTCCCATTTTTTGAATTCCATACTTATGTTCTCCTTTTCCAAAGTGAAGACAGAGGCGAAGTATTCATTCAACACCCATCCAATATCCTGCGGTTTCACGCACAGATTGCCACCTTGGTTAGATTCCTGTCACCAACTTTTGACTTATGACTTGTTCTTCATATTTTTAAACAATTTTCAAACACTTGCATCCAAAATCCTCATCACAGGTTTTACTCCCGACTCCAGATGCCTGCACGGTTTCCCTTTGTTTCCACAGCAGCCGTTTATTTTAAATGTTTAGAACGCATTCAGCACAACTATTCAAAATCATCTGATTCATGCTCATTTTAATTTGGCAGTTTTAGACCCAATTTTTTTTCTTTGCTAAATTAAATGTAAATGATTGGGTGTCATCAGATTGGGAAGCATGGGTTCTACCCATGCTTCACTTTTCTTTAGTCTCTTTTGATTTTGCTATTGCAGCATTCAAGCAATTGGTGAGGGAAAAAAAAAAGGAATGTCAAATCTGATTCATCACAGTACTTTGTGTCCCACAGTAACTTTAACCTGTGTCAATTTTCTACTTGCTATCTACTGGTCTTCTCAAGTTACTGGTCACATTTGAATTCCATGCTATGAATCATCTCTACTTTTTTTTTTGGGTTATGGTGCTGCAACTTGCAAAAGCATTGTATAATGTAATCCCATAATCTAGTTAAATTGAATGGATGGGCTGTGAGATCAGTTGTGACCTGTAAAGTACCTACCCCTACAACCCCAAGTCCTGTCAGGAAATGTGTTGCATTCAGCACAGCCAGCATATTTTCAACTACTCATAATCCAGATTATCACTTACGTAGCATCTGTTCTTCCCTGGTTTACTATGAGCAATGCCTTTGTCTTCCTACACCTTTTTTTGCCCTCTTTCTCCCCCACCACCTCCCCTTCACCTCCGTGCTCTGTCTCCACCAATCCATTCACTCTTCCTTTCTCGCCCTTACTCCTATCCCCGATCAGATTAAATGTCACCTTTTTTGCTAGTTGCTTCTAGAAGGGTCACTGAACTCAAAACATTATCTCTGTTTTCTCTCCACAGATGCTGCAGGCCTGCTGGGTTTCTCCACCAATTTGTTTTTGTTTATTTGATAGGGTAGCTATATTTTTGAGTCCAAAAAGGTGGTAATCTCCAGATTACTATCTGAACCACAAACTAATTGGCATAGCAGTATTATTATCGCTGGACTGTTAATCCAGAGACCCAGATAATGTTTTGGAGACTCTGGTTCGAATCCCGCCACAGCAGATGGTGGAATTTGAATTCAGCAAAATATCTGGAATTAAGAAAATAGTGATGACCATGAATTAATTTTGATTGTCGGGGAAAAACCCATCTGGTTCACTAATGTCCTCGAGGGAAGGAAACTGCCATCCTTACCCGGTCTGGCCTACATGTGACTCCAGACCCACAGTAATGTGGTTGACTCTGAACTGCCCTATGGGCAATAAATGCTGCCTAGCCAGCGACACCCTCCTCTGATTAGTGAATTTTTAAAAAAATCACATTTATCTAAATTAAACTCCTTCTGCCACTCTGTGGCCCATCTGATCAAGATCCTGCTGTACTCTGAGGTAACCTCCTTTGCTGTCCGGTACACTTCCAATTTTGGTGTCATCTGCAAACTTACTAACCGTACCTCCTTTGTTCACATTCAAATCAAATCATTTATATAAATGATGAAAAGCAGCAGACCCAGCACCGATCCATGTGGCACACTGCTGGTCACACATCTCCAATCTGAGAAGCAACTCTCCACCACTATCCTCTGTCTTCTATCTTCGAGCCCGTTCTGTGTCCTGATAGCTAGTTCTCCCTCAATTCCATGTGATCTAACCCTGTTAACCAGTCTACCATGAGAAACCTTATTGAATACCTTAATGAAGTCCACGTAGATCAGTCCGCCGCTCTGCCCTCTTCAATCCTCTTCGTTACTTCTTCAAAAAACTCAATCAAGTTTGTGAGACACTATTTCCCATGCACAGAGCCATGTTGACTATCCCTCCTCCATTCTTGCCTTTCAAATACATGTAAATCCTGTCCTTTAGGATTCCCTCCCACAACTTGCCCACCACCAATGTCAGGCTCACCAGTGTACAGTCCCCTGGCTTTTCTTACTACCTTTCTTAAATAGTGGCACCACGTTAGCCAACCTCTAGTCTTCTAGCACCTCGCCAAGCAAGTTGAGGAGAGTATCAAGTTGAAAGAAAAAATATAAGGAGGCCGATGTCTGTGATCACCCCAAAGACTAGGATAAATTCAGAATCCAGCAAAGGAGAACTAAAAAATAATAAAAACAGACAAGGTAAACTGAGGGCAAACGAGCAAGGAATGTTTTAAAAAAAAAACACTGACAAAACCTTCAATATAAAAAGGAAGAGAGGTCAAAGTCAACATGAGCCCCTTAGCAAATAAATCTGGAAAAATTGGTTTTGGAAACAAGAAAATGGCAGAGGAGTTAAACAGATATTTTGCATCAGACTTTGTGGTGGAAGATACTTTGAACATTCCATTAACACTAAAGAATATGGGGAAGAATTAAGTATCATCACCATCATTAAAGAAGTGGTATTAGACAAACTAATGCGGCTAAAAGCAGGTATGTCCCCAGTCCAGATAACTGGCATCCTAGGATCCTAAAAGCGGTAATGGATGCATTGGTTGTAATTTTCCAAAAATTGTTGGAACCTGGAGAAGTACCAGTGCACTGGAAAACTGCTAATGTGACACCGCTATTCAAAATGGAAGGGAAGCAAAAAGCAGGTAACTACAGTCTGACTAGCCCAACACCTTTTGTTGGAAAAGTATTGGAAACTTTATTCAGGAAGAAATTGCACATTTGGAAAATTATAATCTAATCAAGCAGAATCAGTATGGCTTCATGATATCATGACTGACTAAATGAAGAGTTTTTCGAGAAAGTCTCAACCACAGTTCATAGGAGGGAATCTGTAAATATATTGTGTTTGGAGTTCCAGGAGGTGTTTGACATGATACCTCACAAAAGGTTAAGTCATAAGATAAGAGACCATGGTGTTGGAGGTAGTATATTGGCATGGATGGAAAATGGCTAACGGGCAGGAAACAGCGAGTGGGGATGATGGGTTCTTTTTCAAGCTAGAGGGGGGCGAGTCTCGGACCAGAGGCCGTCGCGGGGGAGGCGAGGCCCTTGCTAACTGGAAGCCTTGAGTTTTGAAGCCCAGTGTGGTCTGGAGACTCAGCCGAGTGCGGTCTGGAGGCCAGGGGCTGGCATGGACTTGGTGAAAAGGACTGTAATTTGAGTATTTTATAAGACTTTCATTCTTATGCTGGACTTTTCATGTAATTCAAGTATTTTTTATAAAAAACTGTGTGTTCCTATGTTGGACTTCATTATTCTTTCAATTCTATAACAAATACTTGAGTATCTGTTCCTAGGTATCCAGTACCTAAGAGAGCACCATAAGCAACGACATTGCAAACTTTTCACTGCACTCCTTTGAGTGCACGTGACTAGAAAGCCAATTCTTCTAATTCTAATACTAAAACCAGTGGGGCTCCATAAGGATCAGTGCTGAGACAACAACAGTTTTCAGTATATATTAATAACTTGAAGGAAGGAGGTGAATGTACCATAGCCAAATTTGGAAACAATTTAAAAATAAGTGGAAAGGCGGGTTGTGAGGGGAATACAAACTAATTACAGAGAGATATTCATAGGTTAAGTAAGTGGGGAAAACGTTGGCAAATGGAAACAAATGTGGGAAAATATGTTGTTCATTTGGAAGGGAGAACCAAAGAACAGTATTATTTAAATAGAGATAATCTGCAGAAAGCTGCAGTATGAAGGGAGTAGAGGTAATTGTACGTAACACAGAAAGCTAGCCCATGGGCCCCACAGGTAATCGGGAAGGCTTAATGGAATGTTTGCTTTATTTCAAGGAGATTGGAGTAAGAGTGGGGAAGTCATACTGCAACTGTACAAGGTGCTGATTAGACCACATCTGTTGCACTCTGAACAGTTTAGGTCCCTTATTTAAGGAAATATATCATTTCATTGGAGGCAGTTCAAAGAAGGTTCACTCAGATTGTCTTGTGAGCAAGGGCTAAACAACTTTAGACTCCGTTGATTAGATTGTAAAAGAATAAGAGGTGATCTTGTTGAACACCTCTTTAAGAAATCTTAAGGAATTTGACAAAAGTAAATGCTGAAAGTGTTTCTGCTTATGGGAGAATCTAGGGCCAAAGGACATTGTTGTAGAATAAAGGGGTGCTAATTTAAGACTGAGATGAGGAGGAATTTCTTTGCTCAAAGGGTTAAGAGACTTTGGAACTCCTTGCCAGAGAGGACTGTGGGGTCAGGATCCTTGTGTTTATTTAAAGCTGAGAAAGGTTGATTCTTGATCAGTACGGAAATCAAGGGTAATGGGGAAAGAGCAGGAAAGTGGACATGAGGAATGCCTGATCAGCCATGATCCTATTGAATGGCAGAGCAGGCCTGAGGGGCTGAGCAGCCTCCTGTTCCTGTTTCTTATGGTCATTAGGACTTGTGTAATTTTTTTTTAATAGACAAGTAACTTAATTCTCAATTAAACAGAAACTGACCAACATGAAAGTACAGCAGTAATTTTTTTCTTTAAATGTACCAATTTAAAGCTGACGGTGTTCTGTGCAATTATTTGCAGCAGTAAATATCACTGTTCTAATTAATTTTGTTTGCCTGTGTGAGAAATATTATTTTGCTGTCTGCGTAATGAATTTACATTATGATCACAATATTCAACTAAATATTATAGGATTTCTGCCATGGTCAGGTGATGTGGCCTCCACTGAGTGTGCTCCAAGTTAAAGTTGCGGCTCCCAGGCAGTCATGTAAGCAGGTCTGTCAAGAAAATAAACTCATATGTGAACCTTCCTTCTTTCAACATCTGAACAAAGACAGTGATTTGCAGAAGTAAGTATATTTAAGCAGTTGTTGATGAATAACAGAAAATAAAACTCATTGCAACTTATTTATGGTTTCCTAAGTTAATCAATCACCAAAATTTCTGCTCAGTGAAGATGTTTCCTTCATAGTACATTCATTTTATATAACCTAGATTTAATCATCATTTACAGTGGCTAACAAATACTTACGTAATGCATAGTGCTAATGTTTTTGAGCAGTGTTTATGCTAGTCTACCAGGTACTTTCACAGGAAAATTAACACCAAAGCTCTATTGGGGTGTTTATTCTTAATTATAGCTGTGTTGTAAAAGATTAAATCTGATGAAATTACTTAAATATTTTTATTACATGCAGGTATGGAATTGAATGCTTGTCATTTGAATCTGTGAATGATATTGTTGTTCCGGCTTATGACGAAAACAAGAAACGTTGCTTTTTCCAGAGTGATTTGCTGCTCTTCAGTTGTGCAGGTTCAAATGGAAACCATAAAAGGATCTGTCCATGCAGAGATTATATGAAAGGACAAGTTGCCCTATGCCAAGAATGTGTATAGCAGTTGCTTATCCATTTCCAAAGTAGATTGTGCTTAAAGGTAGGGGATAGTAAGTCTTCATAAGGACCAAGCATTTGGTTAATTGTTTCTGAAGGCATCCCTCAAAAAATTGAAGGAAAATGTGTTTTTTTTATTTAAAACTATAGTATTCATTTGAAGAGAATATATATTAATGAATCCCTGCTGAGCATCTTAATATGGAAACTTTGACAAATTATTCAACTTTCTTATACAGTTTATGTATAGAAGAAAACTGATTTTGTGAAGAGTTGGTATACAGATGTGACTTATAGGTGAACTAGTAAATATTCTAAATTCAGAAAATCATGTTACAAATGCAAAATGAAAATTGAGTTCAGACAACAATAAATATAAAAACCAAAAGAACTGCAGATGCTGTAAATCATGATCAAAAACAGAAGTTGCTGGAAAAGCTCAGCAGGTCTGACAGCATCTTTGAAGAGAAATCAGTTAATGTTTTGGGTTCTCAGAACAGTTCTGAGAAAGGATCACTGGACCCAAAAGGTTTAACTCTTGATTTTTCATCACCAATGCTGCCAGACCTGCTGAGCTTTTCCAGCAGCAATAAATAACGTTGGATAATTGAATATGCTGCAAGAGGCTGCTTAATAAGCTCTGAATTTTAGTTCAGCAAAAATCCAAAAATGATTTTCTCTTTGAAAGTGTCTTACTTCCAGGTTAACGAAGATCCATTACAATGTTCCAGTGTGACCATGCAACAGATCAAAGCATCCTGATAGCTGTTCTTTTCAGGTGTGGTTTCTTTACCAGCATCACTAATGGTGTCAGTTACTTAAAAGTCATATGCTGATGTTGATGGCAGTAATAAGTGCTTGAAATACATAATACTAGTGTTAAACCATGGCTTGAGTTTTGATTTGAATGGTTGAATTAAAATAGCATTGAATTATTATGAAATAAATAGGAAGAGTTCCCAGAATTTATTTGTAACTAAATCTTTTTGGCTTTTATTAAGACGTCATTAGGATGCTGGCAGTGTTTATGAAGTAACTGCCCTTTAGCCAGTGTCAATTGATTCTAATTAGACTTATTTCAGACCATCAGTAAATTAGTTTAATGGACATTTTAAGTAGCAGCTTCCAGTTTGAAAAATAATTGCTGTTGTACTTTGTATAGAAACATTCTGATGTAAACTGTTTTTTAAAACCTTGTTTGTATAATCATATCATGTTTACTATACAGTGAAGTGGAATTTCATATTTTTGCACTTTCCTTTCAGGCTCAGGATTGTTTTACATTTTAGGCAGAACATTTTTTTAGCCACACAGTAAATAAGCTACAATATAATTTCAATTAAATATTCATGTCACTAAATTGTTCAGAAAACCAGTAAAATCACATTAATTTCTCTCTCAATTATTTAATTGAAAGAAAATGTTTGATCAGGTGATTAAATCACATTTAACATCATCAATGTGGCAGAAATAAATGAATTTCTAATTTCCAACATATTCCAGAACTGTCTTCAGGATTGAATTAAGATGACCGATACTGTTCACGTATTTCCAGAGCAATCGGATAGGTGGTAAATGTTGGCCTAGCCTGGATCCCATGAATGAATAAAAATAATGAGAGATCAGTATGATAGATTGTTAATCACAATGGTGCTGCTGATGACTGATTTTAAAACTCTTAGAACAGTTGATACACTTTACATATACTCATTTCATGCTCAAATTTCGATTAAGTTGTTGATAACACGGATTGTCGTATCATTGATTTCCATTATGTGAATGAGGTGTGTCAATCAGTGGTTGAGGAATATGTCTTTGCAGCAAAGGATGTTGTTTCAAAAAAAAAAATCAATGTTTAAAAAGTGTGGCTTTTGGAAATGAAAAGTAGTGACATATAGTTAAGCTACAGCAGCTAAACCTCATTGACGAGATATATCCAAACCGGTTTGCACATTTGTAAATATAAAAAAAACATAATTTACTTTTTTAGATGCTTTGTAACTTGCTTTGCTTATGTGTGGAGCTTGTAAATATTAAACATTTACTGTAGCTAAGATGCAATGTAATGTAAATTATGTGCCTTTTTAAGGGTAATAAAGTTGCTTTATCAACTTGTATAATACTATATATACTTCATAACAGTCAAAATTTCAGCCAAATGCATAAAGTTGTGAAGAAAATGGTTTTCGTGTATATTTGCAAAAGTAGCATATATCAAAATGAGGTGTGCTTTGAAAGCTGCTAAGAAATTGTTTCCACAGTTTTGATGAGCAGGAAAAATCTTTATTTTTTAATAAATCTTTTAAGTGAAGAGAAGTTCTTCCATTGGTTTGTACATTCTTGTATAAATATACAGTATAGAAACAGTTATTGGAGCAGAAGTTATCTTAATTAACATCAACATTGTTAAATGCTGTATCTTTTAACTGTAGAATTTGAAGCACACTTCATGCACAGATTGTGCTGCATATATTTTTAATTGCAGCATACTACAACATATCAAACTAATGCGCTGAAGATTCCATCCAAGTGTAGACAAAAATATTTAAATTCCAATCCCTCTGTTCGTACTTACATATGTGATAATTCTAACTTGATGCTTAAAATTGGGCCTTCCCTGAGTTTGGTGTAATCTCTAAAACTTAGCCTCCGGAGCTTAACTATTGATGATTAAAGCTCATAAAGATTCTGTTAGCATAAATATAGAAATAATGGGGATCTCAATACTATTACCTTGCAATTCCCTAAACTCCAGTCTAAATTCTGGAGCTGCTGGAAAGAGCGTGACAAACAATGAATGTTCTCAAATATTTCCTAAACTTTGATAAAGATTTTGGTTGTATTATTTATTTTAACTAAAGATGGAAAGAACCAGAAAGTAACTTAATTCATTTCTTGCATTTTTGATTCTACTTTGATTTACAGCCTTGTAAAAATGTCAGAAGCTACTTGGCTTAAGGTTTTGATGCAACGTTTCTCTCCCACTGAATATTGTATCACTTCACTACAGTCTATGGTCATATTGACATTAACAGTGTATGATACGTTTTCTGATATGTTTTGGCTATGACACAGTTGTGGCATTCTCTTCTCACAAGTTCCCACTCTAGCCTAGAGCTCAACAGAGGTGCTTTTGTAAATGCAGGTTTATGTTGTAGTTTACAGCAGTTTTATCTTTTTCATAAGTGGGATTTAAGGAAATAATTAAATGACTTTTATTTTTTATAAACAATCTTGAGCTTTACTTAGAAAAGATATTAATTTCTGGTTTTTTAATTGTTAATTTCAGTGTTTCTAAATATTCAATAAAATATCTACTCGATGTAGCTCAAATAAAAATATCTTTAAACTTGGTTGCAACATAACATCTTGAGTATCAGTGCGACGAACTGCTCCACATCCAAAGTTGCTCTTAAATCCTGTCCAATTTTGCACAAAATGATTTATTTTCTTATGTTAACAAATCCCAGCACTCTTCAATCATCATTAAGAAATTTTTCAATCTAGTATCAGCTCCGATCTTTTGGCTAATCGGATATATTTTAATAATTTATAAATGTTCAACTGTTAGCTGTTATCTGTGTCAAAGTAGTATTCCACTAGAAAAAAATGATGTTTGAAATTTGGCAGCCCACTATTGCACTTGTATTGTTTTCAAGGTTGGTGTATTAACTACGAGATAGACACGAATCGATTTGTTGGGAAGGTTGATCAATATCTGTGCTTTTCTACTATATACCTTGGACCTGCACATGATATTCATTCACTGAACAGGGTGAACATACTTCCCCATTTCACTGTATGTATTGTGTCAAATTCTACTCAAGACCTCATAGAAGCAACTTGAGTATCAGTGTTCCTCAGCTTTTCATTTTGACCAAATAATCAGCCTGTTTGGATTCAGATTATTTCCTCTGATTTGCATTGACAAGAGGTTGTCAACAAAATTGTAATGTGAAGTAAGGTTGAGGATATGGAAGGCTTTCCAAAGCAGAAGGATGAATCGAAGGCTTTTTTTTTCAGGGAGCATTTAATAAGTTTTTGAAGCATAGACATATACAAGATAATGGGGTGAAATGACACTGATTAATTGGTGGCTGCTGTATCAAAGAATTAGAACAGACACTGTTCTCGTGGCCTGCCTTCACAATGTAAATTTCTAAATATCCATGTAGATTCTATTCTGGATGGCAGTGAGATATTAAAGATTACATTTACCATGAACTTCAGTCCTGATACCAGTTGAAGGCCTTGACCAGTTTATTTCAATCCAGACAGCATCACAACACAGCTAGCTGGCTCAGTATTAAGGAAAAGGCAAAAACTGGAAATAACTTTGGCATTGCTATTAATTCGTCATACATAATTCTATTCTTAAACCTAGTTATACAGGTGATGACCTTGTATGTGTAGGATAAGGATATGTGGGAATTACTAATCTGGAGCCTATGTTAATGATCATTGTGGTATTTTCAATGAAGTCTGGATATAATTTAGTACAAGATGATACAGGAGTTCAAATGCCCTTTTGTTTGATGCACAGCACTATCAAGAAATATCTATGGCACATATGGAGTGTCTCAGGCAATGTAATTTTATGTTTTCCATGCATCTGCATGTATCTGAACCTTCCCTCAGCATCCTGACCGTGCATCTTCATTCCTGCTACCAGAAGATCTGGCCCATAATGTATCGCCTATTTCACACAAAATTCTAACCATTCCTCAATTTTGAGTATTAGTTCCACTTTCAACTGATTGCCGAAGGTATATTAGATTTTATAGGGTAGATTTTAACTGTGATCAATTAGCATAAATGAAGCAGTAGCCTGTTACCACCTCATTTACACCAGCACTTGGTGCCACTGTCTATAAAGGAGTCTTCTGTGCAATTGAAGTACTTGTAATTTCAAGATGTTGCTCTATAAATGTACAAATTGATGAATATGTGACCTTGATTGTAAATGACTGACAACTAAGTGGAACATACAAAATACATATACAGCCAGTTTTAGTGAATGGTGCAATGGAAAATGTACCTAAAAGATAAGTTTAATGTTTGTTAGCCACAAAGAGGTGTACTATGTCAGGCTTCCACAAGAACAGTAATGTTGTTGTTCAGGGCCCAGCTGTCCGGTCTGACCCAGTGCCAGCAAGCCACGTGTTTTCATCATGATAATGACATTCAGCCCTCAAAAGTGACTCAGCCTGCCCCTGGCAGATTGGGCTGCTGGTTAGCATGCTTTTCTGACAAGTCGTCCACTAGCTTAAAATCTACCCTTTGCTCTTGAGGGGATTAAAAAAAGTAGCAAAGAGCTGCATCTTCAATCTTAAAATTATTCAGTTCACCATGTTTAGCATCACTTAATTTTAGTTCACTAGGTTTGGTGTTAAATAGGGATATAAGGCAGTGGCCATGTTTTGTTTTTCAGTCACTGTCATAGTGATTAATTCCAGGTCTTGCAGTCTTCATTCCTGTAGAACTGAGCCACCACTGCATATTTTCATCATGTTTATTATTCAAAGCTTTCATAATTGTGAGTTTGTTTTATTCGTGGCACTGTGTCAATCAGAAGCCTAGAAATAAATAGAAGGGTTAAATTGATAATCATCCTTTGACACAATTGCCAATACTTTTGACTTTCATGAGGTAAGATGTGACTTTCAGCCTATTTATTTTAATATCTGAAAATTTTAAAATAGAAAAACAGAAAACCTTGGTATGCTAATAAATATTTTCGAGGTGTAAGCAGTGTTTCTGTAGCTTTTGAGTCAGAACATCATGAGTTTTGATTCCATTCTAGAGATGCAAGCAAATAATTCAGGCTGACTCTCCCGAGAAGCAGAACTGAGGCACTATTGCATGGTCAGAAGTATAGTCTTTTGGGTGATCTATAAAACAAAAGGCTCTGTCCTCTTAGGTGATTAATTATGAGAAAGGGAGTTCCTGCTACTTTCTTGGTCAGCATTTCTCCCTCAGACTTTAGTTATGATTACACTGTTTGTAAGACTTGTAAATTGAATGCTGTATATTACAAAAATGATTATACTTGTAAAGTACTTCATTTGTTTTACAGTGCTTTGGAATATCATAAGGTCATGGTAGGTTCTTTATTGAACTGCTGCTGACTCTTAACATTAGTCATTTGCACATCTCATTCCACACACTGCCTTCCCTCTAACCTAACAGTATCCTCCCCTCCCCCCAAAATTAGTGAGGGTCTCTTTACAAAGGTAAATGGCTGGGAACACAGCATTTGCATGTACTCTGAGTGGGTCAGAACCTAGAGATTGACAATTCTACCAGAAGGCAGGAATGGCAGCAGATTAGCTACTTCCATAGAGAGGCTGAATGCCAATAAATTGGGAAGGTTTTGCCACTGCTGAGAAACTGAAGTGGGCCCAGCTGCAAATGATACCTGCCACAATCCATCCCTTTGTATGTGATTGCTGCTTATAACTTTTACTGTAACTGAGCAATTTGTAAGCTTGACAAATATGAATTCCAAATTCAGTGATGTCTCTTTGGCCGTAGTTTCAAATAAACTAGTTAACAGAAGTTACTCCAACTCTGTTTCAGTTCAGCCCCCTTCCCCTCTCCCTACCATCGTTCACCTTTGGTTTGCCCTTAGCGTTAATTAATTTGAAAACTCTGATGATTTACTGGACGTGGTGGCTAATAGTTGATTTAAAAAAAAAATACCATGGGTAATTTGGTGATGGGGGAGAAAAGAATGTTCAGCTGTAAGAGCATCTCTGGATATTGGGGGGGTTGTAACATGGAAGAAAGAAAACAAATTGCCCCCAAGTCTAAATACAGTGAGTATCCAACTTTGTGTTCCCTGATGAGACATAGCTACTACTAAAACTGCATGGCAATTCCTTCCATGTAATTTTTCAACTGTGAAAATGTGCCATTATGTTGCTACATCCTGCTAAACTTGAATATATCCAACGGCTATACCATAACTAAAAGCAATAGACAACAGTTCACATTGACAAATAGCTGCTGCCATGTTGCCTGTCAAAACTAATAGAATAATCGTGCAATAAATGGGAAAAAAAAAGGAATAGTGTTTGTAAGAATGAACAAGAAAAGCATATGAAAATGAGTGTAAGTGGAAGAGCAAAACAAAATTAGGAGTTATTAATTAATATGTTCTAAACATAGCCATGCAAGTTAACATACCATAAAAATATCTAGATGCAATTTTGCTGTTTATTTCTGGAACAATAATAGTGTTTCTGTAGTTCTGCTTTCCATTTTAAAAATGTGTTAGGACATTGGAGAAGATCTTTATGGAAATGGTTTTTTTTAAAAACAAAATCAACAAAAGGAACATCAGAACAAGCTGGGATTTGGATTTTCTGTACAGACGAAGACGAAGGGTGAACAAGAGTTCTTTTAAAAGAAGTCTGAAGGATGGTAAAAGGGTTTAAATAGATGATTATGTATTCAAAAATAAACAAAAATAGAAATTGCTGGAAAAGCTCAGCAGATCTGGCAGCATCTCTGAAGAGAAATCAGCGTTCTGTGGAAAGGTCACTCGACCTGAAACATTAACTCTGATTTCTCTCCACAGATACTGCTATACCTTTTCCAGCAATTTGTTTTTGTCTCTGATTGTGGATTGCCCTGTTACTTCAAAACAAGATCTAATGTAACATCACAAATGAGAAGTCACTAAACTAGAGAGAATAAACACTCGTGTTGAAGATCTGATGGCAAATATTATAAATGATATCAGTGTTGGAGTGGTTGATGAAGGTATTGGTTTTCCATAGGGAACTGACTCTTGCTGAAATACTTGGGTTGTTTATATTAATGATTTTAGATATGGGAAATAAATGTAAAATTTCCAAGTCATGGACAACACAAAGAAGGGTGGGAGGTTGAACTGTAATGATGCAGAGATGCTTCAGTGTGATTGAGTGGACAAAAATATGGTAGATGAGGTATAACTTGGATTAAAAAGGTCATTGGCTTTGGTAGCAAAAACAGGATGGCAGATTATTATTCAAATGGGGAAAGGGGGAAGTGTACCAAGACCTGGGTGTTCTTGTACACCAGTTATATGGAAGTGAGTATGCACGTGCAGCAGGCAGTGAAGAAGCTAACTGATACGTTGGATTTACAACAAAAAGATTTGAGTACGGGAGCAGGGATGTCTTGCTGCAGTTATAAAAGACATTGGTAAGACCAGATGTGGAGTAATGTATGCAATTTTGGCCTCCTTAACTGAGGAATCATGATGTATCTGTGGATAGAGCGCAATGAATGTTTACCAAACTGATTTCTGGGATGGCAGGACTGATGTATAAAGAGGGATTGGATTGGATTGGTTAAAACATTTTTTTTCCATTGCCGTTGCCTCCATGGATGAGTCCCCTCCACCTTCCACAGACTCCTTCAGCCACTTCAAATATTCCCTCCAACTGGACCCCTCCTAGACTTTTACCTGCATTCAACCTGTTCATTGAGAACTATCAACATGACATCAGTCGCCATAATTTCTCTGCCCCCTCTCAGGCATTTAAACCACTCTCCTCCTGAACTGACAGCACTCTGTGCTCTAAGATTCAACCCTGACTTTGCAATCAGGTCTGCTAACAAGGATGTACTGTTGTTGGCTGGTGTACTGACCTATCCAATGTGGAGGCTGAGCGCCAGTTCTTGGACACCTCCTATCTCCCTCTGGACCATGACACCACCATCAAATACCAGGACACAACGAATGCTAGTTTTATTTTATCTGGTGATCTCCCTCCACACAGGCTCCAAGCCACCACACTCCTCCACTTGACCAAGCTTGTCATCACTTTGAACAATTTCTCCTTTAACTCCTCTCACTTTCTTCAGCTCAAAGGGTTGGGTGTGGATACCCTCAAGGGCCCGAGTGTGTGCCTGTCTCTTTGTGGGGTTAGTGGGATATTTCTTGTTCCAATCCAACTTGTGGCTCTTCCCCACAACTGTTTCTCTAGTATATCAATGACCTGAGTCAATAAATGTGGAGCTGGAAAAGCACAGCAGGTCAGATAGCATCCAAAGAGTAGGAAAGCCAACATCTTGGTCCGAAACCCTTCTTCAGGACCGGGGAGGGGAGTGGGGCCGGGGGAACAGTAAGTGAGTTAGAGATAGGTGGATGTAGGTAGGGGATTATTGGGGTTGGTCAGTGGGAAGGGTGGAGCAGATAAGTGAGTCAGAAGATGGACAGGTTGGGGGAGGAGAGATTTTAAGCTGGTAAACTCAATATTCGGGCCATTGGCCTGTAGGGTCCCAAGGTGAAATATGAGGTGATGTTTGTCAGTTTACATTTGGCCTCATTCTGACAGTGGAGGAGGCCAAGGATTGACATATCACCAGGGGAGTGGGAAGGGAAGTTAAAGTGAATGGTAACCAAAGGTCAGGTTGGTTGGTGCATGCTGAGCACAGATGCTCTGCAAACCAGTCCCCAAGTCTGCATTTGGCCTCCCTAATTTAGAGGAGACTACATTGGGAGCAACAGATACAGTAGATGAGGTTGGATGAAGTGCAGGTGAATCTCTACCAGATTTGGAAAGATTGTTTAGGGCCTTGGATGGAGGTGAGAGGGGAGATGTAGGGGCAGGTGTAGCACCTCTTGCAGTTGCAGGGAAAGGTACCAGCTGTGGTGGAGGGGTTGGGAAGTATGGAGCTGATGAGGGAGTAATGGAATGAACGATCCCTCCGGAAAGTGGACAGGGGTGGGGAAGGAAATATCTTTCTGGTGGTGGGGTCTGTAGGTGGAAGAAATATTGGAGAATGATGCATTGTATTGGGAGGTTGGTGGGGTAGTAAGTGACAACTAAGGGGACTCTGTCCTTACTGTTGTTGGGCAGGAGAGGGTTTGAGGGCAGAAGTGTGGGAAATGGGGGAGATGCAGTTGAGAAAAATCTCTCCATCCCCAACCGGTCCATCTTCCTACTCATCTGTCCACTCCACCCTTCCCACTGACCAACCGTAATAACCCCTAAGACCTATCTCCATCTCACCTACTCCCCACAGACCCACCCCCGCCCCCAATTTATTTATGTGCTCCCGTACCCCTCCCCACTCCTGACAAAGGGGTTTTGGCCCCAAATGTTGACTTTCCTGCTCCTCGGATGCTGTCTGACCTGCTGTGCTTTTCCAGCTCCACATTTATTGACTCTAACTTCCATCCTCTGCAGTCCTTACTGTCTTCACATCTGGAATTGGAAAAATTGATCAGTTTTGTGTTCAATTTCCACCCTGCCCTCACCTGCACTTGGTCTATCCCTGACTCCTCCCTCCTCCTCAACATCTCTGTTCCCATTTGTGGGAATTGGCTGGCCACAGATAACCATGACAAACCCACTGATTCCCATAGTTACCAGGACTACCCATCCTGACACTTCATTTCCTATAAAGAACTCTATTCTCCCCAAATTTCCATCTCCATCACTTCTGTTGTGATGATGCCACCTCCCACAACGAGTTGACAGGGCCCTCAGCTGTGTCCGACACGCTTCCCGCACTTCTGCCCTCACCCTTCTTTCACACAATACAATGCTAGGATCTCTTTGCCACCCCACCAACA